AACTTGACTTTTTCGTCTTGAAATCAAAGAGGAAATACACAAGAGAAAGATTCCGTTGACAATATACACCGCAAAGCAGGGAAAACCTTCGAACGCCCAATGTCACATAGATTATGGAATTTATGCAATCGGCTCATGCGAGCACTTGTTGAGGACAGATAAACAATAGAACAACCAATCATAGTCTTTCTAGTATGACGGGAACCGCCACCGCAGATCTGTCCAAATTTGGTAAATGTCAGGGAATCATCCTAGTCGGGTTTGAAAAAAAATTGTTCATCTACAAGACTAGCATTCATTGCATGTAACCTCTTTATTAAAAAGTACAACTGAATTAACAAAAATAATAAAAAAATTGCTCGTGGCATCATTGATATCAAAAATTTACATGTTGACAGGTGAAACAGAATTCCAATACAAATACAGAAGGAAAAAATATTATCAAAATAAACATAATGTATCTCCTTTACGTAATTTAGGGTCATTTAGGTGTTTATATGTTATACATGTAATAATTGTTGATATTTTCACACGACCTAACAAAACTTAAAGAAAATCACATTCTAGGCAAAAAAATTTCCGCCAGTAATCATTGTTCTAAAATCGTGGATGTCTCTATGTGAGTACTTACCTGATTTTTAAATTGGCTAAAACAGAAACGAATTTTAAGGAGTGTTGATACACTATATATTTAGCAAAAAAGGAAGGGGAAGAATTTGTCCTGTTTCCGCTCTCTACATGACGGAGTCGGCGGATCATGACGGATCGGTTCTAAAAAGCTGTTTATGCCATCTCGTGCTCCCACATCACACGGAAACACCCCTTTCCGTACAACATTCCGCCGTCCGTTTCACCCTGCAAACATAACAAGAACTTTGCTATCTGCTTGAATTCTGTCGGCGTTTGAGGTCCCTTACGTCCTGAGATTAATTCAGTCTTACGTAGTTTTTTTGCAACACCAGATACATTCTTCTCTTTCAGGTACGTCGGTTCGATGGGTTCGATGAAACGACTGAGGACCACTAAGGTTCTTTGCGCCGATCATAAATGTTGATTGCTTATTATTCAGTTCCGTTTATTTATATAATTATTTATTGATTACTTATTTATTCAATTATTTATTTATTCATTCATTTATTTATTATTTTTCTATTTCTTTGCTTTCGCCGTTTTCCTTTTTTTTTTGTTCATTGATGAGCAGATAGTACGGAGATATCTCTAACGACTTTTATCCGTATTATCACCTTTCAATCCCACAGTCGGGCATGACAAGTTGACTTAATTAAATACAACAAAAAAAATTCTTTGGTTTCTCTGTGACCTCACATCATCAAGGATTAGAGGCAGGATTAGGGGTTCGTGCTTGTGTTACCGGTCGTTTAGATACAAAGTCGCTTCGATACATGCAAGTTTATTCAGTCTAGATGTAAGAGTTTAACAAACTTGGCTTAAAGGACGAAGAATATTCACCCAAAATGTTTTTCTTGTTCACGTGCAAGTTATCGAAAGTTCTCTGCAATTTCACTGCTTGAGTTTGCTTCGAAACGTCGACTTGTATGGTAACGACTTGAATGAATGATAACTTTATTTAAACACGGTTAAAAACATCAGTCTAATATAGAAAATTAATTAAAAATTCTCAAAAACTGTTTTAAATATTTGCCGTGTGGGAGTACTGATCAGAAAACCATCTATGGGAACTTCTCTTAAAGAAACCTAAGGAATTTGATTTACGTATTTCCTCAGGAAGATTGTTCCATAGAAGAGCGCCACTGTAACTGAAGCTACGCTTCAGGTATCAGTTCTTGGTTTTGGGAGCATTGATTTTAACTTAGTATCGGAACGACCGGTTACCCTTTGATGTCGAGCCCGTAACGTCGCACCGCTGGCTTCAGCATGATTTTTTTGTACCAAGATACCGAAAGAGGTTGTTTGAAGACGACTGGGATTGCCGTGGTGTTGTTGTTGTGTTGTGTCGGTAGGGTTTTATCAATACGTATATTTTCATGGCATGATATGGACAGTCGATATAGAATATGATTATTAGTCATGCTACATCCCAGTTGCCTTTGCTGTTCCAAATTAGTGATAAGTACGTGTTCTAAAAGCTGGTGTTTTTTATTAGCAGCCTCAATATTAAGAGCGTACATATTTTTACGATCAACGGCTTACAGCTATCACAAAAACATTTCCTAAACGGCCCACCATATTTTTATTGGCATTAAAAGTACGATCGATTATCTCACATGTACTATCAGGCAATTCCATGCAATCCTTGTCTCTTACGTCTGCGGTCTTTCAAGGATCTTAACTTTTGACAATCTTTCCCACGGATCAGAGGCTCGCCTGGGCCAGTTTCGAATTTCTAAAAATTATTCTTGACCCCGATGTTGAGAGGAATAATACAAAATAAACGAATTATTGATCCCTGAATCTCGATGCGATTTCCTTTGAGTAGTAATTCTAAACTGGCTTAATCAGTCACCGGCTACACAAGTGTAAAAATATAATTCAAGTATACGTGAAATATCGGCTTTAATACCGCCAGATTTTTCTTACATTCAGCCTATATCAAAACCGTTTAATTGGCCAGGCCAAGCGTAGAGGAAGTTTGTCTTCCTGATTTGAGGGCGATTTAAATTCCTAACGTTTTTGTACGTTGTTAGTCCTGTATTGTTACGTGACAAGTGTAGAAAGAGTTGTGATCAAGTGTACCATGCAGTGTAACTTCTGTACCTTTGCAAGGTGGTCAGATACTCTTCATAGCTCCTATACTATCATAAAACTTCAAATAGTCGTTTTACATCATTTGTAAATTAATTATCTATATTTTATAACGAGCAAATTTCTGAAAAGAGCTTAGAAAAAGTTATGAGGTACTGTAATACCGCCAGAGGAAACGACACCCTTCTTGAATTCAATCTGCTTTACGACAGCAAGCTTTTCCGTTTCGGGATCCTTTTTAGTGGAAAGATTAAGATATATCGATCGATAATAGTTTTAAAAAAGCTCACTTAAACGTTTTATGATCTCTCAGTAGAAAAACCTCTCACGAAAAGTGATAACGTTTTAATATTTTTGGCATTTTACGGAAATACAACTACGTAAAGGAAGTTGAGCCGTACCCTTCCCTTACTGAATTGAAGTGAAAACAAAATTCAAATTCTCCTTGATTCACTAAGAGACGTTATTACTGTTATAATAACATTTTAATAAAAATATAATAAATGGATGCCAACTATTCTCTCTTGCAGCCACTGGCTAAACTGCGGGGGCAAAAGAGCACGTAAAGTTTGATCTCACCTCCCCCACCCAGGCTAGACCAGTGACGGCACAAAGCAATCAAATAGATCATGACACTGGGGCTTACGATACCTCCCACTCTTTTAATTCCAACAATGTCACGGGTTCTTTTACGTCCCCTTCCAAATAATGTGCAAGGCCAACGGCTTAACGTCAAAACGTGCCAAGGCAAATGACGTCATTAGCAATGTCATTTCCGCCAATCAGCATTTCGTATCGACTTTTTCGATGCAGATGTTCAAATTCCAGAGACGTAGTTGCAAGCTCTCCTTCCTTTTCCCGCCCCTTCGCCAGAGCGCCCGATAGAGCTTGCTCGCAGGCTAAGGGGGAGAGGGAAAGAGAAAGGAGGCGTTTTTCGCCCTTAGCTGTCTCTGCTTTCTCACTTTTTCGCTTCTCTCTTCTCCCCTCACGAACCACCCCTCCCCAACCTGAACCTGAGACTCACGAGACTGGCTAAATGAAAGTAAGACCTTTGTTGGTGGTCCGGCCAGGGTTTGTACTCACGGCCTCCCCGCCTAGGCAGACCAGTGTTCTTCCAAATAAACGTAGCCTGTGATCACAACCGTCGCTCCTCGCTCGGTGATCCCTTGGTTAAGCTGAACGTCCCTAGCTGCCAAGGGCGAGGAGAGACGGCATCAATTTTTACAAACCATAAAGTTTTTAAGAATATTTATAACAGCGAGTCGTATTTGTGCCATTCTCCAGCAATAAATGATGGGATTTAACGACGAGTTTATAAAAACTATGGCTGTGGCAACGTCATAAGCGAGAGTAACTGACTGTGTAACACCTAATATTGCTTCACTCATGACGACTGAAATAAACGGAAGATAAAATGCCAGCATCAACCCATAAACATAAAGCACAGTCACGGCCGACTTTTTGCATTTTAGTACGTCGACTGTTCTACAAAATGGTTGACCCATCGTTTATCTGACGTTGATGCTTGCGAGCAATCTGGAAGATTTCAAATGTGCTTACGGCAGTCACTAGCGATGTCACTAATAATATTGAGGTGGGTATGATAATCCAGTTGTCCTTCAACCACAGCTTTAAAATTGTCAAAATAGACAAACATACCAATAAAGACGCTACCAGTGCTAGCACCCTTGGAACTGTGATGGTAGCCGTGTATCGCAAGTGGAGTTTCAAAGAAAGGAGTCTATCGAAGGAAACTCCGCTTACAATTACAAAAGATAAACTTCCCGTGATCCACCCAATGAAAAACTGCGAAAGTCTCAACTTACAGTACGCGTCGAACTTGCCAAGTAGTTCCGCTGATTTAAAAGCGACGAATAACGGCTGGCCAAGCAATCCAACAACAAAATCAGAAAAAGCCAGGCAAAACATCAGTGTCAATGATGGCGAATGAAGTTCTCTTGTTTTCCAAATGACAAGCATTGTCGCGCCATTAGCCATAACTGCCGTGTAAGCAAACAAAGAGGTAACAACGCACGATACAACACTGACAGTGATGCTCTGACTTGAATGTTGCCGAAAAACGTTCAAGAAAAAACACGTCAGGTTTGTTTCGCTCAAGTTTACTACCTTTGTTGCCATTGATCTGAAAGATGCAATTGACGAAGCCTTGTCCAGAGTTGAGCTCTCCTTTTGGGTACTGTGGAAAATTAATTAACAGTAGCTAGTTGTGCCGCACTGAAAACTGTAGTGAGGATTATTTCGATTTTGGTTTCATC